GTGCGTGCGTGCGTGCGTGCGTGCGTGCGTGCGTGCGTGCGTGCGTGTGTGTGTGTGTGTGTCTAAGCTGGAAGCCGATCACTGACTACATAGATCAGCAATTTGAGCAGTACTTCAGGGATGAGAGCGGGCTGAACAGAAAGAACATACAGGACAACAGAGTCCACTGCTGCCTCTACTTCATACCTCCATTTGGCCATGGGTAAAGACACACACACGTGTGCAGATACAGTGTATAAACACACACACAAAAACTCATCCTGGTTTCTGTCCACAGGCTGCGTCCGGTGGATGTCGAGTTCATGAAGGCCCTGCACGAAAAAGTGAACATAATCCCTCTCATCGCAAAAGCCGACTGCCTCACGCCCACCGAGATCAAAAAGCTGAAAGACCGGGTGAGTCGAAGACCTGCAGCGCCACAGATCTGTTCACGGGTCGTCAGAGAACACTCTGACCCGCTTTTTGTGTTTGACAGATACGAGAGGAAATAGACAAGTTTGGGATCAAGGTGTATCAGTTCCCTGAATGTGACTCTGATGAGGACGAGGAGTTTAAACAACTTGACAAAGAGCTGAAGGTGAGGCTGTATGGAGCTAAATTGGGGCCATGAAATTTGTTTTTAAATTTTTTTTGAAGTTTATGCAACTGGAAAAAAAATCGAAACTATAAAAAAAACCAACAACACTGAATTAATTTAAAAAAGTTAATGAAGTATGGTCCGTCATTGTATCATATTATTAACCAAGTATGGCAGGCCATTGCATCATGTAATTTACAAGTATGGCAGGTTATTATATCATATAATTACCGGTGACAATGTATGGCAGGCCGTATCATATATTTAAGGAAGTATGGGAGGCAGTCGTATCATACTTTAATAAATTACATGGCAGGTTGTTGTAAAATATAATTAACAAGATATGACTGTTTTGTCATCTAATTTAAATATATGGATGGTTGTTCTATCATATAATTATCCATGTATGGCGGGTCATGTCATATAATTAAGGTATATCAGGCAGTTTCGTAGTAATTTCAAAATATGGCAGGCTGTTGTATTGATGTGTGGCAGTTTATGATACAATGAAAAGTATGGCAGGTCATTGCGTCATACAATGAAAATATCAAATCATTTTTCTCAATGTTAAAATTATTTTTCTCTATCTTGAAAAATAGTCTTCGTAACTTTTGAACAAGAGTTTCAATCAAAATTGTTGGGCAATAATGAGACAGTAGAATGACTGAATTTATTCCTGAGGGAATCTAATTAAACTCATTTGTTGTATTTGTTGTTGAAGCATTTTAAAATCTATTGAAGCTCATTTTTATGGTTTGTTAGATGTCAAAACAAACATTCTTACTAAAGACCCATTTATTGAATTTCACAAAGATCTGTAAAATTAACTTTAAGCCATTTTGTGCTTCCTAAAGTCAGTTTGCTGTGGCATTTTTGTGTTGGTTGCCTGACTGTAGCAGTCATCTTGAATTGTGCTGAACCTCATAAGCACGGTTACAAACCAGCGGGGGTTTTTTTCACTCTGCAGCTGTAAATGCTGGTTTGTAACATGAATCCACTCAGCTGTGTTGAAAGTGTGAGAAAATAAACACGTTTTCATCTCAGCTGGGCTCGTCTTGTGTTACAGTGGCTCCTTTGTGAACACGTATTTGAGTATGTGAATGTGCAGCGGCACGCTCTGACAGCTTTCCTCAGGCAGTACGGGGTTAAACAAAACAACTTGTCTTCATGTGTCTGAGTGCAGGAGTGCACGCCGTTCGCTGTGATCGGCAGTAATACAGTGGTGGAGGCAAGAGGGCAGAGGGTGAGAGGAAGACTGTACCCCTGGGGGATTGTTGAAGGTATTTTAAAAATAAAATATTCATCTGTTCAACATAGATAAATACCTGCTGTAAGATGAATTATTGATCAAATGAATGTTTCTGTGCTCAGTGGAAAATCAATCACACTGTGACTTCGTGAAACTGAGGAACATGCTCATCCGCTCGCACATGCACGACCTGAAAGACGTGACCTGCGACGTGCACTACGAGAACTACAGAGCGCAGTGCATACAGGAGATGACCAGGTTTGTTGTTCGTAAAACAAGATAAGTCTGATAAAGATCTGTCAGCACCGTGGCTGCTCACCTCTCCTCTTCCTCACCTTCGCAGTAAACTGACTCAGGACACCCGGATTGAGAGCCCCATCCCCATCCTGCCGCTGTCCACTCCAGACGTGGACACTGAGAAGCTCATCAAAATGAAAGACGAGGAGGTACGAAACAACAGTTTTTATTTTATGGTGTTTTTATTTTGTGCTCTCATTTAAAGATTTGTTTGAGCATTTTGTGTAATCTCATTTCTTCTGCTATTTTCAGCATTCTTACATTAAAACATTCAGTTAAAACAGGCATGTGTGCTCTGACGTTTGGGTTTTACAACTTTTCTACTTTGCAAAAAATGTAAAGTTATTTAAATTTCTTAAATCTTTTAAATTCATTCAAAAACTTTGTTCTCTTTAAATTCACTTCACAAACGTTCTACTTCTGTCGTCTTATGCTACGTTTAGCTTTTAACTACAGTTTTGTGAGTTCAGCTTTAGCATCAGTTCTGTTATTTGTAGCTAGTTTAGCTAATTTTAGTTGTAGTATTTGTTTTATGTTTGGCTACTGTTTTTCTCATTATAGCACGTTTTATTAATTGTAGCTATTCATTCTAATATTAGCTTTACCATCTGTTTTGTGATTTTCATTCTGCTAATTCTATTCAATTCAATTCTATTCAATTCAATTCAATTCAATTCAAATTCAAAAATACTTTATTGATCCCAGAGGGAAATTAGGTTAGCATGTTTTCCTAACTTTAGCTACTACTGTTTTGCTTTTTTTTAGTTTTTAGCTGCTGTTTTACTGTTTTTAGATTTTATTTTTCCTCTTTTTTTAGCTTTTATCAACAGTTTTGCTAGGTTTAGCATGTTTTGTTATTTTAGCAACAGTTTTATAGCATTTATTTAGCTAATGTCCTGCTAACCTTAACTACTGTTCTGCTCTTTTTAGAGTTTGTTCTATTGCTTTTAGCTACCTTTCCCCCCTTTTTTGTTACAGTTTTGCTGGGTTTAGCTTTAGTGTCTTTGTTAGTAACAGCTGCTAATTTTAGCATTTATTTGCTAAATTTAGCCTATTTTTGCTCAGTTTTAGCATCTCTTTTATTAAATGAAGCTACTGTTCTGCTGTTTTAGTTAGTTTTAGCTACTGATCTTTTGCCTTTTCAGCTTATCATTATTCTGCCACAATTAGCTTTTAGTTGCTGTTCTTTATACTGATTTTTTTCTCCTGCTTTGCTATTTTTATTTTTAGCTACTGTTTTGCTGATTTTGATCTTGTGTTTGTTGTTCTGCTGCTTTTAATTTATCTTATTTGTTTGTTTATTACTGTTTAAAAAAAGCTAAAAATGTTAAAAAGAGTTTTTCTCTTTCTTAAACGCCAGTAAAGTCCAGTAAAATTGAGTTTTTTTGGACCTGCAGTCTCAGTTTTGTGACATTTCTTCCTTGGTCTCTGCAGCTGAGGAGGATGCAGGAGATGCTGACCAAGATGCAGCAGCAGATGCACGATAAGGACTAGTGGTGGAGCTGAGGCTGCAGTGCCCCCTGCTGTTTCTCCACCCAACAACAGCGAGACCTCCTGACCCAGGGGGATGCTTGCAGCTCCAGCTTTGATTCTCTTCAGTTTTGGTGCTTTGTTAAGTTTTGTCTGCCTGGAGGTGATGTAGTTCCCTGAAACATATCTGTTTCCCCACATTTTGAGCCCTTTGCTGTTGTTATTAACGCAAAGAATATAAATTTCAATAACTTCTCTGTATATCTAATTTATAACGCAGTGCTAAACATTTTTGGATATAATGTGAGGGTGTGTTTTGTAAAGAATTGTAGGTCGATGATTAGAATCGAACATTATTGTTTTATATTATGTGTGTTTGATATGTGGGTGTTTATTATAAATTTAATTTCCGTATCATTCCCATAAAGGTGCCACTGTAACTTTTTTAAATTAATATTTAAGCTTAGTTCCTTGTTTGTTCATAAACATTTAAATTTCTTGGACATCACCAGTCAAAGCATCCTCTCTCTGAATATTTTACTGACATAAACTCAACTTTTTTTCTTTTTTTATTTTTTTTTTGAGTGAAAAGGCTCTGACATAAAAGGATTAATTTATTATAGAGTGCATGTGAAAGCATGCTGTCATTCCTGGTGTCTGCTGAAAGCTGTGGGGCTGTTTTTACTGCTTTACAGCTGAACTCTTGCTTCTGCAGGATGAAAATTAGGAGCAAAAATATTTGTTTCTGTGATTCTGTTTTGAATTGATCTCCTTTAAAATGACTTATGCCATTGAAGTTGTTAAACCTACATGTATGTTTGGATTGCGGCACGCGCGTGTGTGTGTGTGTGTGTGTGTGTGTGTGTGCGTGTGCGTGTGCGTGTGTGTGTGTGCGCTGATGCTGACGACCTGTACATATTTTTGCCTGAAGGCTGTGAGCTCAGTCTGTGTCCCATTTGGAAGAAAAAAGAAGTGTGATGAATAAACTCCTCTTCTTGTCAGCTCTCCCTTTTTGTTTTTCCTGGAATGTGAGTCATGTGACGACGTCCTCTTCCTGTCAGTCATGTCCCTGCAGCAGCAGCAGCAGCTGCAGCAGCAGGACCTGGAGGTTCTGCAGGAACATGATGTGTTGGTTCATGTTTATCTGCTKGCAGCTGCTGCTGCTTCCTGTCGGCTCAGAGGAGGAATAAGAACAGGAAAAATTTAATTTGTGAATACTCCATATTATTTATTAACTGTGTCAGCGAGAGTTAAGTTACATTATATTAGATTCAAATAGAAGTTTTCATTATGCAAATTAACTGTTAACTCTTAACGTTGCTTTAAGGGAAAATGAAAAGATTGAATGAGAACTTTGATACTTCAGGCTTAAAATGTCTATTTTATCTACGCAAAAGTCTTAAACTCATTTTGATATATTTGTTTGTTGTAAAATATACAAATGTACAAAAGTTTTAGATGTGCTGGAATTTAAAGTTTTATATAAAAAAAGGACTTAATCTAAGAGCATCACTTTAATAAACCTAAAAAGAATCACTTAATTTGAACAGAAATGTTATTGCTTTTCTAATCATTTGCCATTATTTTTTAATTTTATTATTATTCATAAAAATGTAGCTGAGCTGTTTGAACTTTCTGCTTCTACTCAAGATTGTTTTCCCATCATTTGATTTGACAAAATGATAAAACGTCAAAATCTAGATTACCTAATTTTAAAATTAGGTAAATATTACATTTAGATAACACCAAAGGAAACAACCATTCTRAATCAGCTGTTATCTTTAAAGGTCCTGTCACGCTAAAACATTTCTGTCAACTTATGAAAATTTTGTCCAGCACTAAAGACGTGTACTTAAAGATGAAAWTTTAAAAAGTCTACTAGGACACTTTTTTTTCTGGACGTATGCAGTAATGGTATTGATTGGATCTACCGCATGACCTATAAAGAAAATCGKAAGTCAGCATAAGTTGTCTAAAACCGATGCTTTAAATGAGTTGGTGTGCATGTTTTGTGCTGTGAGTTCAGACGTACGTGTGTGTGTGTGTGTGTGTGTGTGTGTGTGTGTGTGTGTGTGTGTGTGTGTGTGTGTGTGTGTGTGT